GGGGAAAACCGAGGAAGACGCAGGGAAGGGTGCGGGCAGTGAGCTTGTCCGTGCCGGAGGCACGGACGTGAGCAAGGCAGCCCCAGACGTGGAACGCAGACGCGTCACCAGGAGACCCAGTCCAAAGACGGGTCGGCGAAACCTGCGGCTGCTGAGGGTGCGGCCACAGGTTAAGCTGGTGAGAAGCGTAGCACACAGCGAACGGCCACAGAAAATGGGGTGCACCGGCATGGATCATGGAGGTGCGAGCCACCTCCATGACCAAACCGATGCGTCGCTCAGCGACCCCATTCTGCTGTGGGGAGTCCGGTAGGGTGAACGTCTGGGTGATGCCCTCCGCACGACAAAAGCGACCAAGGACACCTGAGGCAAACTCGCCACCACGGTCTGAGTGAAGACGCAAGACAGGGAGACCGCGGTGGACACGCGCAGAGACAAGCCAGGGGATGAGAGCGCCAGGCACGTCAGCCTTGCGCTCCAGGGGAAAGACTGTGGTGTAGCGTGTGAAGTCGTCGACAAGCACAAGGAAGTAACGCTCTCGACGCGGCCCAGGGACAGGGGCGGGGCCCCATACGTCCAGGTGCAGGGTCTACAACGGCGCGGCGGTAGGGGGAAACGAGGAGGAGTGAGGGGCACGGCGAAGCCGACCCTCGACACAAGGCGTGCAAGGTGGGGCTGGGGAGGAGGGAAACGCAGGGAGAGAACCTGGGAGACCAAGGACAAGACCGTGCTGGGACATGTGACGCAGACGCGGGAGTGCAGGGTGACCTAGGCGGTTGTGCCAAAGGAGGGTCGGGTGAGTGAGGGACCGACAGGAGCAGGCGGCAGCAACCTGGGTGAGCGCTCCAGCCGAGGGGGTCACGCTGTCCAGAGTGAACAGGCCGGACACCGGGTCCCGGGGGAACGTGGACAGGGGGGCACCAGTGGCGGCCTCGGTACAGACAGCATACCGCACGTAACCAGGGAACGTAGTGGTGACGCCAAGGTCCTGGAGGCAGCCGACACCAACTAGGTTCCTGGAGAACGAGGGGATATGCAGACCTGTAAGAGAGCCCGAAGGAACCGCCGGACAGGGAAGGGTGGTGGAACTGCGGGCGACTACCGGACCGCCAGAGGGGTCAGCGAGAGAAACGGCAGCAGGGACGGGAAGCGGCGTCAGTGTGGTGGAGTCGCGGAAGAAACACCGAGAAGCGCCAGAGTCCAAGGTGAAGGAAAGCGAAGCAGAGGCGTCTGGCGACGGAACGACGGCGGAAGCACCAAGGCTACACAAAGCAGAGGATCCTACGCTTGACGCAGCAGGGGAGGGTACACTAGGCACACCTACACTAGGCAACAGTGAGTAATAAGCGGGAAGCACACTAGAGTCATCAGCATACATCACATGCAGAGCAGAAACAATGGCATCCATGTCCATATCAAAAATCTGAATCTTACGACTAAGCAAACTGTGCCAGTCCGGGAGGTCTGGCGACGGGCCGAAGCGCTGACGAAAGAGGTCGTCCAGGCGACGAAAACAGCGGGGAGTGGAGTGACCGATCTTACCGCAAATGAAGCCGCAGCGAGGACCGGTCTGGATTTGGTACTGACAGCGCCCGCTGCCAGAGCTACCACACGACACACCACCACGCGCCCGGCCACCGCCAGCGCCGGGCCACCCGGGCGGGAGGACACTCGTCTGCCGCGTCTGCGACGGCTGCGGCGGCTGCTGCGACGGCTGCGACTGCGGCGACTGCTGCGGCTGCTGCAACTGCAGGGGCGGCGGCTCAGCTGGACTGGGCAGGGTCCCCTCGTCCGCTCCAGCACCAGACGACCCGACCCCACCACTACCCCCTCCCGCACCCCCGCCGCCGCCTCCGCTGCGCCCAACCTTGGGGCGGCGGCCCTTCCCCGAACGAAACTGCGCTGCAGCAGCAGTCTCAGCCACTGCTACAGAGCCGTCGGAGAAGGTACACTGGGCGGGGGCACAACCCTGAAAGATAGGGACAGGCACGACACCGCTCGCCTGGGCGATGGAGCGGTGACGGGTCTCTATCACAGTCAGGGTGTCTACAAAGTCAGTGAGGGTGAGGTCGGCAGGGTGAAGGCTAAGGAAGCGGTCGCGGGCGACAGCAAGGCGGTCAGGGAGGCGGGTGGCAAGCAGGTAGAGGGTAGAGGTAATGGGCGGCTGGTGGGCTCTAAGCTGTGCGTCAGTGCAGGCGGCGCGCCAGGTCTCCTCTATCGAGCGCAGGTGGGCAGCGAGGTCAGAGACAGTGGGGAAAGAAGCAAGGTCAGGAAAGAGCATCGGGAGGATCAGACGACCCACCGAGGCAGCCGGAGGGGTGGAATAGCGCTTGATGACAGCATCTAAGTATGCCTGAGCAGTAGTGAGGGACCTAAAGCGAGGACGCTCGGACGGGGGGAGGGCGTTGCTAATGGCAAGCTGGGCGACAGCATCGCGAGAAAGCCAGACAGAGCGCGCACGGGCAGTGGCAGCACTAGACTCACGCTCAGTGGGTGTGGGGTCAGCGGGCAGAATAGCAGGGGGGTCTGGGCAGGGGAGCGTACCGTCAAGGTGTGCGGAAAGCGGTTCACCATCCTGCCGCTGGCCAGTGAGTTGGCGGCAGAGGTCGGCAAGCCACGCCTCGAACTCTAGGGGCTGACCTTCAGCGTCGAAGCGAAGCTCCGCCGCCATCAGGAACAGTCCACATCGGTGCAGGGCGGTGCAGTGCAGTGCAGTGCGGTACAGTGCGGTGCAGTGCGATGCAGTGCGGTGCAGTGCGGTACAGTGCGGTGCAGTGCGACGCAGTGCGATGCAGTGCACCGCGGTGCAGTGCGGTGTAAGGCAGTACAGTGTGGTGCGTGGCGGTACGGTGCAGGGCTGTGCAGGGCGGGGTGGGGGGGAACCGTACCAGTGAGGAGGACGGGGCCGGGGCAGCGGGGCCGGGCAGGTGGGACCGGGCCGGGCGAGGACGACGGGGCCGGGCGGGCGCGATGGGGCCGGGCGGGCGCGACGGGGCCGGGCTGGTGCGACAGGGCCGGGCCGGGGCGACGGGGCCGGGCGAGCGCAACGGGGCCAGGCAGGGGCGACGAGGCCGGGCGGGGGCGACAGGGCCGGGCCGGTGCGACGGGGCCGGGCGGGCGCGACGGGGCCGGGCTGGTGCGACGGGGCCGGGCGGATGCGACGGGGCCGGGCAGGGTGCGACAGGGCCGGGCGGGTGCGACGGGGCCGGGCGAGCAGGACGGGGCCGGGTGGTGCGACGGGGCCGGGCTGGTGCGACGGGGCCGGGCGAGTGCGACGGGGGGCCCAGGAGGGGCGCTGCAGGGGCCCACGAGGGGCGCGACGGGGCCTAGGAGGGGCGCTACGGGGCCCAGGAGGGGCGCTACGGGGCCTGGGAGGGGCGCGACGGGGCCCAGGAGGGGCGCTACGGGGCCTGGGAGGGGCGCGACGGGACCCAGGAGGTGCGCTACGGGGCCTGGGAGGGGCGCTACGGGGCCCAGGAGGGGCGCGACGGGGCCTGGGAGGGGCGCGACGGGGCCCAGGAGGGGCGCTACAGGGCCCAGAAAGGGCGCGACAGGGCCTGGGAGGGGCGCGACGGGGCCCTGGAGGGGCGCTACGGAGCCCAGGAGGGGCGCGACGAGGCCCAGGAGGGGCGTTACGGGGCCTAGGAGGAGCGCGACGGGGCCAAGGAGGGGCGCTACGGGGCCCAGGAGGGGCACGACGGGGCCTGGGAGGGGCGCGACGGGGCCCGGGAAGGGGCGCGACGGGGCCCAGGGAGGGGCGCGACGGGTCCCAGGAAGGGGCGCGACGGGGCTAGGGGGGGTCGCGACGGGGCTAGGGGCGAGCGGAAGCGGTAGGTGGGGGGGGGGATCCTACCTACGCGTGATACCATATCAGAAATTGAAGTGAATAATTGTTAGAGAGAGGGTACACACAGATATACCTAAGTGTTGTACCCTCTAAGAGGCTACCCTATACAGTCTATACAAACATGACAAATACACATGTTTGACAGTTTGTACCCTCTACAGAAAAGGTTCAGTAACAACCTACCAAGCCTATATAAATTATAACTTATATAATTTGAACACACCCCCTAGGCTTGGTAGTCACACACCCACCCAACACACCACACACCCCCTAACCTAGCACCCCCATTCCAGCCATAGGGACAGCGACACTAGGTCGGTCGACCCCACGGTGCGTGAGGCGGCGACGTCGACCGCAGGGGTTGCGGCGGCGACGGCGGCAGCGGCGGCAGTGTCGACAGCGGCGGCGGCGGCGGCGTGCGGCTGCGTGGCCCCGACGCAAGCGGCGACAGCGGCGGCGGCGGCGGCTTCGACAACAGCGGCGGCGTCGGCGGCACCCGCACCTCTCGGTGACGTGGCCAGACCCCGCGAGGGTGGGACGGCCGGCGGGAATCAGCCGTCAGCTGCGGCAAGATACAGGACACAGGGGAAGGGGGGCGGGGCGTGGTCCAGCCTCATGCTTGAGGCTGGCGTGCGGGCAGCAGGCGTGGCGGCGCCCTGAACGTCGCGCGGCAAGCTGTCGTCCGACGACGCTGCCACGGCAGCATTACGACGCCGACACATCGCGGCGTCGATGCAGCGGTGGGACGTCGCCGCTGCGATGGTAAGCACGGCGCTGTCACAGCAGTGTGGCGTCGACGCCACGCGTCACGACGCGACGGCACGGCAGGAACGGGCATGGCCGCCACGGCGGCACGGCAGGAAGTCGGAAGGCAGTAAACGAGAACGCAGCGGAAGCACGGAGGGGAGCAGGTCCAGGAAGGACGTCCTGCTCTCGATACCATGTTAAAGTAGTACTAGGCTAGGAGGAAGTGAAAGGAGGCCGCCATGGTTCTGGCGGCGGGGTTTAGCTAGGAGAGTAGGAAAAATGTCGAGAGGAAAGAGAGTTGGATTAGGAAGAGAGAGGAGTACAAGGAGGGGTTTGTACCCTCTACAGAAAAGGTTCGGTAACAACCTACCAAGCCTATATAAATTATAACTTATATAATTTGAACAAGGTGTGCTACAATACTGGATCCTACTGTAGAGGTTACAACACCCCTCTTGTATCCCTCTTTCAAGTCCAACTCCACTTTTCTCTCGTCACCTTTTCTCCCTAGCTAAAACATCGGAGTGGTTGCTGTTGGATACTGTACATCACAGGCAATGCAGCCCAGGTCTCTGACTCGGAAATAAAGATGTCTTGTTGACTCCGTAAGTGTAGCTAGTTAGCTGTTTTATATGCACTTGCTAATACACTGCTCCCCAGCTTAACTACCGGTATCCCCATGTAGAAGGGGATTCAGGAACCGTGCCTACCAGGAGTGAATTGCATGAGAGTCAGATGATGCTCACCCGGTGAATTGTTGGTGGTAATGATGCACATGCACGGTGTCTAACAAGCACTCCATCAGTGGCAGCCATCTCTAGAAGGGAAGTCAGTCACAACAGCTGCACCGACTCATGCTGTAAGCGAATCGAGTTGGATGCTTGTAGAGAGGATGACAACTTCCTGTGCGGGCATGTCAGTTACCATGTGACTCAATTCAAGTTACCCTATTCTAAGAGAGAGATCACAACAGCTACAGCGACCCCTGCTGTAAGCGAAGCGAGCTGAATGCCAGTAGAGAGGATGTCAACCCCCTGTGCGTGCATGTCAGGCATGACCCCTGCCACTGCAATGTAGATAAACCCTCCTGCCGTGAAGCCCTGAGGAAGTGGGGAGGGAAGTTGGGAGGGAAGTGAGGAGCGAGGGCAGCAAGCAGGGGGTTTGTCACTCAAAAGTCGCCTTGAAACCTCAGCCTAGTGTAGCTCACCTCTATGAGCCCCAAGTGCACCTCTTGCCCTCCAAATATGAGAGCCTGGAGAGAAACGTGGTTTGAGTCTGATATGTAAAGCTCGGATCAACAAAGCTTTAACCTCGGATCAGTTAAGCTCTCAACTCGGATCAGCAAAGCTTGAACCTCGGAACAGCAAAGCTCGAACCTCGGATCAGCAAAGCTCTAACCTCGGATCAGTAAGGATCTAACCTCGCTCACCTCTATGAGCCCCGAGTATGCCACTTGCCCTCCGAATATGAGAGCCTGGGGAGATGTGTTTTGAGGATCTTCAAAGCACACACCGATGCACTGCCACCACTCATACACCAAGATGCGGCCACAATCCACACACCATCCACACACCATCCACACACCATTGACACACCATTCACACCTCTTAGTTTGGACGTGACACCTCACCTCTATGAGTCCCGAGTGCGCCTCTTGCCCGCCGAATATGAGAGCCTGGGGAGACAGCAAGCAAGGGGCCGAGGGGAGAGCGCATGGGAGGATAGGGTGGAGAAGAGCGGCGGTGACAAAGATTCAACCAGGAAGAACCATTCATGGCGGAGATCTAGAAAGGTGATACAGATGTAACGGAGGTTGGTACTCACAGCAGACTTTAGAGGCACCTTAAAAGAGATTTAGAAAGGTGATAGAGATGTAACGGAGGTTGGTACTCACAGCAGCAGTGCCGAGCAGAGCAGTGAGGGCAGAGAGGAAGTTGAGCGCTAGGGCTTGAGTTACCCCCATACCCGAGCGAACCAGAATGCCGAAGTCCCCCACCTGACAGTAAGGGGAAGCGAGTGAAGATGCCGGATAACACAACATGCATGAGACGTTTGTTTGTATGTAGCACCAGTAACGAGTCTCCAGCACCAGGGCCAGCAGGGTCCCCAGCATGAAGAGCATGTGCGAGTAGCAGCTGGTGCAGGTGTGATAGGCTGATTGCAGACAACATGTCCCTCCATCCCCCTACGTTCCCCCCTGTACCGTACCTCACCCCTCTTCACCTCCTGAGTAGTATCTGGCTAGCGTGATGAGCATGCGTGGGTAGCAGCAGACGTTGCAGGTGCGATGCCAGGCCACTTGCCCCTCCACCCCCCCGGCCCATCCTCTCCCCACCCCCCTCCCTCACCTCCTGAGGAATCTCCTGCGCTATCTCGAAGAGCATGTGCGAGTAGCCACCAAGAGCACCGGCAGCAGCAAGAGCAGAGTGCCCAATACCCTCTCCCCCACCTCCCGCCCCCCCTTCCCTGCCCCCTCACCTCCTGAGGAATCTCCTGCGCTATCACGAAGAGCATGTGCGAGTAGCCCCCCAGGGCTGTCAGCAGCAAGAGCAGAGTGCCCAATACCCTCTCCCCCTCCCCCGCGCCCCCGCGCCCCCCTTCCCTGCCCCCCCCCCCTCCCCCGCCCGCCCCCCTTCCCTGCCCCCTCACCTCCTGCGGAATCTCGTGAGCGATCATGAACAGCATGCGCGAGTAGCCACCAAGAGCACCCCGATGGAGGAAGGCCGAGCCCAGCGACATGCCGTCTGTGAAGTTGTGCTAGGAGGGGAATGAAAGGGGGGTAGGAGGGGGGGTAGGAGGGGGGGGTAGGAGGGGGGTAGGAGGGGGGGTAGGAGGGGGGTAGGAGGGGGGTAGGAGGGGGGGTAGGAGGGGGGGGTAGGAGGGGGGGTAGGAGGGGGGTAGGAGGGGGGGTAGGAGGGGGGTAGGAGGGGGGTAGGAGGGGGGGTAGGAGGGGGGTAGGAGGGGGGTAGGAGGGGGTAGGAGGGGGGGTAGGAGGGGGGGTAGGAGGGGGGGTAGGAGGGGGGGTAGGAGGGGGGGGTTGGGAGGAGGGGTGTTCCAAGCATGACGAGCATGCGCGAATAGCCCCCCAGCGCCCCCCGATGGAGGAAGGCAGAGCCCAGTGACATGCCGTCCGTAGCGTTGCGCTGCGAGGGGGAAGGGGGGCAGGACAGCGAGGGAGGGAGGGAGGGAGGGAGGGGAAAGAAACGGGCAGGAAGGGACGGTGGACAAGGAGAACCCAGCGACTTGCTGTCAGTGAGATTGTGCTGACAGTGAGATTGTGCTGTCAGTGAGATTGTGCTGTCAGCAGAAAGGGTCGTTAAGGTGATAGGGGGAGTGGAAAAAAATCTACACTCACCACCCAACCCTCAGCACTCACCACGCCATCTAGAAAGAGGTTTGAGGTGCTCCAGCAGCACAAGGTGCTTCTTCACTGCAGGCCACGTGGTGGTTGCGCTCTCACCGCTCTGCTTCCCAACCCCCATCACTCACCACTTCCCCCTCCCCCACCCCCATCACTCACCACTTCCCCCTCCCCCACCCCCATCACTCACCACTTCCCCCTCCCCCACCCCCATCACTCACCACTTCCCCCTCCCCCACCCCCATCACTCACCACTTCCCCCTCCCCCACCCCCATCACTCACCACTTCCCCCTCCTCCACCCTCATCACACACCACTTCCCCCTCCCCCACCCCCATCACTCACCACTTCCCCCTCCCCCACCCCCATCACTCACCACTTCCCCCGCCCCCACCCCCATCCATCACTCACCACGCCGTCAGAGAAGAGGTTGAGGTACCCCAGCACAAGGTGCTTGTTCACTGCAGGTGCACCAGATGCGGCTGCCAACAGACTCGCTCCTGCTGGCGCTGCCACAGCCACTGCCTTGGCCTTCTTCTCGTCATTGTCAGTCGCTGCTGCATCACCCTCCTTCTCTCCCTCCTCGCTCCTGTCTGCTGTCACTGTCTGCGCATCGCCACCTGCCCTCCGCCTCCTCAACCCCCCAACACCCCCACCTGCACCACCAGCACCATCCGCACCACCCTTCTCCTCTGATTCCTCCCTGACTTCCTCTTTCAATTCCTCCTCTGCCTCTTTCCCCTCTTTTTCCTCCATCCCCCCCTCTCCTCCCCCCTCCTCTTCCTTCGCCATCTTCGTTTCTGCCTTGGTGTCACTCCCCTCGTCTCCTCCCCTCTCCCCTTCCTCCTCCCCCCCCTCATCCACATCCTCCCACCCGTCCTTGGAGCTCCCCTCTGTCTCCTCCACACTCTTCCAATTCTCGTCAGATCCGCTTGTTCCTTCGCCCTCCTCTCTCTCCTCATTCCCTGCCACTCCATCCTTCTCCTCACTCACTCTCTCACTCACTCTCTCACTCACTCTCTCACTCGCTTTCTCACTCGCTGTCTCACACTCAGCCTCGTCCTTTCCCTCGTCTCCTTCGCCCTTGTCATGCTTGCCCTCCTTCTTGGGTTCGTCACCCTTGGGAGTGTGATGATGGTGGTGGTGGTGCTGGTGGCTGTGAGCAGCAAACGGCACAGCCCGGCCTTGTGAAGTCAATTCTTCCACGCGCCTGACAATCTTCTCCACTAGGAAGAAAAGCACGATGCCAACTGGGGGTGGGTGGGTGGGGGGTGGAGGAAACGCGCATTATATCGCAGCGATGCGATATCGAATCGCCGCGATATGTTTTTGAAAAACCCGAAATCGCATATCGCGTTTTGGGTGTGATATTCTTAAATATCGCACTGTTGAGTGCGATATATCGCGCGATGCGATAAAATATTGCATTGCCAGGGCTAAATTTTCGGTCAGAGTAAAATACAGCAGCAATTTGGATGGGTAGCTAACTGGGAACTAGAGAAGGGTTTCAAACAGGTGCACAACCCACATTGGTGTACAACGTCGGTTCTAATAAATAGCAAGCGAAAATTGGCGAGCTCCAAAAAAGGGGAGCCCCACTATCGTCCAAGGGGTGGGAGGCGGGGTGGGAGGGGGGCGTACTAGTGCGAGCGACCGTCGATCGGGGGGTTAGGTGGGGGGGGGGAGGGAGGGAGTAGTGGGGGATGCCTGCAGGAGAGGCTAAACAAACGGCCATAACACAGATGTCAAGTCCTGAAGTTGGTGCTTCTATGCTTGCTTAGGAATGGGGGAGTGGAGCAGGGCTCACGCTAAGGTTTTTTTAGACTCTGTTTCTCCCGGATTCCCCACCCCCCTGCACCCTGATTCGTCCGGATTTCAGGGTAGTTGATTTCTATTTCATCCGGATTCGGGTACAAAGTTACTTTTAGCCGAGTTATAGCAAACATTGACTCGGACATGTCAATATGTTCAAGGTCCAAACAGGGTAACATTTGCGGAGTGCCAGAAAAAGAGAGTACTTTTGGATTTGTTATGTTAGGAGTGTGAATTTCCTCCGCTAGCTTTCTGACAAACCCGCTAAAGTAGGGTAGAATATGTGCCAGCAACCTTCGCAACTTTCCGGGTTGCGGGAAGGGGGAGGAGGGAAACGTGGCTAAACGTTTTTAGCCAAATTTTCCTAGCTCCGTGGTCGTGCGGGGCTGTAGGAGGAATTTTCCAGTCTGTGAGGGACGCCAAATATTCAAGGTTTAGGGTGGCCTGGGTGGGAGGAGTCTCTCTGTGTAAAATTCTCTAGGTTTAAGGGAGACTTAGCCAAATACTCTATGTTATAGGGTAAATGCAGGAATGTTCCTGCAATGAGGACTAGCCGAAGTTTCATGGGTGTGGGTAGGAGGACTATCTCTGTTTGGGAGGGACTTAGCCGAATTCAACTATGGTCGAGGAAGGAATGTTCCTGACTGTGACGGACTTAGCTGAAAATTCTGGGTTTCGGGTGGTGCGGGTGGGAGGAGCACGGTATGTCTGTGTGTGGGGGACTTCGCCATATTTGCTTGGTTGCGGGGTGAAGGAAGGAATGCTGCTGGAAGTTGGGGACTTAGCCGGTTTTTCTGAGTTTTGCTGGTGTGGGAGTTATGTGTGTGAGGGACTTAGCCGAATTTCCTGGGTTCGGGGGCTCCGTGGGATTGTTTCTGAAAGTTGGGGACTTAGCCGGAAAAATGTCACTGCCACCCTGGGTGCGAGGAGGGGGGAAGGGGAGGGGGGTGGGGGGGGTATTTCTTGGCAGTTGCAGCCGGATTGCCCCCCCAGCGAATTCTGATCTTCCCGGAGCCCCCCGCAACACCACTTCTATAAAATCCGGAAACCCCAATAACTCTACCCGTTCAAAATCCGGAACGAGCCCAACGCGAACTCTTAATGTTTTTTCATTCCGGGTAATTACCCTTGAAAAATAAGCCCTGGAGTGGAGGTGTGGCTAGGTGGCTAAGGGAGTTCCAAGGGTTTGCATTTTGTGTTTGCATGCTAGCTTGGGAATGGGAGTGGGGGGAGGTGGGAAATGAGGTGGGAATGTGTTGGGGTGGGGGTTCTCTCAAGAGGATTGGTCGCAGCTCTTTTTGGGCTTCGTTCCCCCCCCCCCCAAATCTGCCATTTTCGCGTGCGCGATACGCGAGTGTATCGCGCGCGATTCTCAAAAATCGCATTTCGCATTATGTCGCTCTAAAAATGCGCGATATAATCGCGATATCGCAAAAATCGCGTGATTAAATCACATCGCATCGCAGCGATTTTTTAACAAACAAAGAAAAATCGCAATTGCAAAATGCGATAAAACGCGATGTGATATATCGCGATGCGATGCGATATACCCATGTCTAATACCCATACCCATACCCATACCAATACCCATACCCATACCCATATCCATACCCATTCCCACACCCACACCCATACCCATACCCATACCCATATCCATACACATACCCCATACCCACACCCATACCCACACCCATACACATACCCATACACATACCCATACCCATACCCACACCCATACCCATACCCATAAGCATGGTAGTGATGTCCACGCCCATGGTCATGTGAATGCGCATGAGATGAGATGAACCGTCTTACCCAGCACTGTGATGCCCACTGAAAGGTCTTGTATGGAGTGTGCATGCCATCCCCCCTCCTCCCCATGCACATGCCCATGGTCATGGCCGTGACCAAGACCATGTGAGTGGGAGTCATGCCCATGCGCATGCTCATGCGCATGGCCATGGTCATGTGAATGCACTTGAGACCACATTAACAGTCATACCCAGCACTGCGATGCCGACTGAAAGGTCTTCAATGGAGTGCGCATGCCCTCCTCCCCCCTCCTCATGGCCATGGTCATGCCCGTGGTCATGTGAATGGGACTCATGCCCATGTCCATGTGGATGTGCATGCCCATGGTCATGTGACTGGGTGTGGTTGTGGGAATGCGATCCGCTGCCTGCAATGATGGCATAGCGGGGATGGGGTTCAACATGGCAACGAAAGGGGAGATTTTGAGAGGCAGACGTGAATTTTGAGTTGATGGGGTGAGGGGGAAAAGAGGTGAGGGGGGAAAGAGGTGAGGGGGAAAAGAGGTGAGGGGGGAAAGAGGTGAGGCGGAAAAGAGGTGAGGGAGAAAAGAGGTGAGGGGGAAAAGAGGTGAGGGGGAAAAGAGGTGAGGGAGAAAAGAGGTGAGGGGGAAAAGAGGTGAGGGGGAAAAGAGGTGAGGGGGAAAAGAGGTGAGGGGGAAAAGAGGTGAGGGGGAAAAGAGGTGAGGGGGAAAAGAGGTGAGGGGGAAAAGAGGTGAGGGAGAAAAGAGGTGAGGGGGAAAAGACGAGGTGAGGAGGCCGAGGAAGTGAGGGAGGGAGGGAAGGAGGGAGGAAGGGAGGGAGGGAGGGCAAGCAAGCGCACCGAAGGCATGTGGCAACTGATGCAGGAACGCGTCTCCTAGCATGGCTCCAGCCTGCAGACAATCGTGCGAGGTGGGTGGGAGGGTAGGGGAGGAGGGGGAGCATTTGAGACGACTCAGCAGCGCACCGAAGGCATGTGGCAGATGATGAAGGAAGGCGCCTCCCAGCATGGCTCCAGCCTGCAGACAATGGTGGAAAGAGGGGAAGGGGGGAGGAGAAGGGATGGGGGGAATAGGATGGCTTTCAGCACTTGCAGGCAATAAGAGATAGGTGCCTGCAGGCAGCGTGGGGAGGGCCGTTCACCCCTGAAGCTGCCAGGCCATTAAACAGCGCCCGGGGAAGCTTGCCCTTGCCCTAGACTGTAGAGATAAGCGCACACTCACTCACTCACCCACTCACTCACCCACTCACTCACTCAATCAATAACTCGCTCTCACTCACTCACCCACTCACTCACTCAATCAATAACTCGCTCTCACTCACCCACTTACTCACTCACTCACTCACTCAATCACTCAATCACTCACCCACCCACCCACCCACCCACTCACTCACCCCAAATGCAGCCAGGCCGTCAACCAGCGCCCGGGGAAGCTTGCCCTTGTCTGCAGCAGAGAGAGGCACCCAGGGGGGGTGGTGGAACGACAAAGGGCGGGTTGAGGGTGAGCAGTGGAATGAGAAAGGGCGGGTGCATGTGAGTGGCGGAATGGGAAAAGAAGAGCGACAGTAGAGTGCAAACAGCGTCCTCCTCACTGTGCAAACAGTGTGGAGGGCTTGCTGTCGAAAGAGCCACCGCCGAGTGCAAATGGTGGCTGGCAGCAGAAAGAACTCACAGCAGACGAGGGGCAGCAGGGTGAGGCAGATGAGGGAGCAAGAGAAGAAAAGGTGAGGGCGAGCTACGGAGAAGGTCCTGGGGCTACTCTTCTTGGGCTACTCGTAGCCTACTCATACTCACAGCAGACGAGGGGCAGCAGGGTGAGGCAGATGAGGGAGCAGAGCGAAACAACGAGAGCACTGCCCATAGCCTCCAGCCAGATGGCTGCAGAGGGAGACAGGAAGAAAACGACGGACCAGCAGCAACAAGGGGGAGGAACGGACAGCAACAAGCGAGGGTCATGGGAAACTGTGGAAGGGAGACGATGCGAGCGCTGCCCATAGCCTCCAGCCAGATGGCTGCAGAGGGAGCCCGGAAGAAAAGGACGGACCAGCAGCAACAAGGGGGAGGAACGGACAGCAATAAGGGAGGGTCATGGGAAACAGTGGAAGGGAGGCGATGCGAGCGCTGCCCATAGCCTCCAGCCAGATGGCTGCAGAGGGAGACCGGAAGAAAAGGACGGACCAGCAGCAACAAGGGGGAGGAACAGACAACAACAAGGGAGGGTCATGGGAAACAGTGGAAGGGAGACGATGCGAGGGCTGCCCATAGCCTCCAGCCAGATGGGGCAGAGGGAGACTGGAAGAAAAGGACGGACCAGCAGCAACAAGGGGGAGGAACGGACAGCAACAAGGGAGGGTCATGGGAAACAGTGGAAGGGAGACGATGCGAGCGCTGCCCATAGCCTCCAGCCAGATGGCTGCAGAGGGAGACCGGAAGAAAAGGACGGACCAGCAGCAACAAGGGGGAGGAACGGACAGCAACAAGGGAGGGTCATGGGAAACAGTGGAAGGGAGACGATGCGAGCGCTGCCCATAGCCTCCAGCCAGATGGCTGCAGAGGGAGACAGGAAGAAAAGGACGGACCAGCAGCAACAAGGGGGAGGAACGGACAGCAACAAGGGAGGGTCATGGGAAACAGTGGAAGGGAGACGATGCGAGCGCTGCCCATAGCCTCCAGCCAGATGGCTGCAGAGGGAGACCGGAAGAAAAGGACGGACCAGCAGCAACAAGGGGGAGGAACGGACAGCAACAAGGGAGGGTCATGGGAAACAGTGGAAGGGAGACGATGCGAGCGCTGCCCATAGCCTCCAGCCAGATGGCTGCAGAGGGAGACAGGAAGAAAAGGACGGACCAGCAGCAACAAGGGGGAGGAACGGACAGCAACAAGGGAGGGTCATGGGAAACAGTGGAAGGGAGACGATGCGAGCGCTGCCCATAGCCTCCAGCCAGATGGCTGCAGAGGGAGACCGGAAGAAAAGGACGGACCAGCAGCAACAAGGGGGAGGAACGGACAGCAACAAGGGAGGGTCATGGGAAACAGTGGAAGGGAGACGATGCGAGCGCTGCCCATAGCCTCCAGCCAGATGGCTACTTGGGTGGGCGGATTGGGGGATCAGGGGAGGGAATGTGAAGAGCATCAATGAGAAGGAAGGGGCAGAGGGGAGATAAGACAATCCGAACAACAGCTTAGTAGTGAGGGAAATGCCAGGCATCCGGCCATAGGGCTGGAAGGGTGAGGATTGGAGGGGTTGGGTGGGGGAGGGAGAGGAGGGTCAGTATCATGAGGTGAGAGGCTCACCTAGCAGCTTCTGGTTCAGAGCTCATCTAGTAGGGCCTTACCTAGCAGCTTCTGGTCCATGGGCCAGATTGTCCTGTCCGCCTCCCAGTCCTCCTCCTCCTCCTCGTCCTCCTCTTCTTCCCTCAACGCCCTCTCCTCCGCCTCCTCCTCTGGGTGCCTGAACCCCGCTGCTCTCTCTGCTGCCTGCGCCTTGCCCTTCACCTTCTGCCCTGCTGCGTGGGAGTGGTGGTGGTGATGCTGATGATGATGCCCATGGTCCTTCTGCATGTGTCCATGCCCATTCGCATGCCCATGGTCATGATCATGATCATGATCATGCCCATGCATGTGGATGTGCTCATCTGCATGCTCTTTGGAATTGTGGGATGGGAAGGAATGGGGAGGTGGGATTTTGGGAGAGAAAGGGAGAGAACAAGGCGTGTCAGAGGTCCAGAGGAAGCAAATCCGCATGCTTCTGAGACATTTCTGTGGCTTCAGAATGCGATCTAAGCTTCACACGGTTGAACATGCAATTTCAGTGCTCCAAGTTGCAATTTCACGGCGCATTCAGGAAGCGATTTCAGTGACCATGGATGCTATTTCATTGCCTAGGATGCAAAATCAGTTCTTCAGAATGATATATTAAAACGCCTCCGATTTCACTTTACTTTATTTTGCAAGACGCACCTATATCTTCCCACGAGGAAATCCCACCAGCGCCACCACCATGCATGTGATCATGATGGTCATGGTCATGGGAATGACCATGGGAGTGACCATGGCTGTGGCTGCACTGTGCTGACGCGATCTCTGACGTCATCACAAGCGAAACCACCAGTGCGAAAATCGCGACTAGAGGCAGGAGGAAACATTTGGTCGCCATCGGGTGCAATAACCGGTTGAAACTTCGGGATAACGTTCGCTAGCTACAAAGGCGAGGTGGACTTTAGCGAATTGCGGGAAAACCGTGCAGGAACTTCGCGATCTCTATCGGAGCGGGACACGTGCGTCTGTGACACGCGTGGCGCGTGAGAGCACGGCCTGGTAAGAGATCGGCTGTCGCATTTCCCGCACCCTAAAATGGATTAGTGTGAGTCAGAAAATGGGAATGGAGAAATTATTTCATTTGCGGGAGGATTGTGGGAAATGGGATGGCATGCCGCTTCTCGTGCTGCATAAACATTCGCTCTCAGGGAGTGTTCGCAATGACGACACTTGACGAAAATATAACGCGATTTGTTGGGCAGTTGGGCCAGAACGTGCAATTTACAAATTTCGAGGCTAGACAAGCCCGAAAAGGCTTTCCCGCGGATATGGAGTACGCTTCTGGGCACACGTAACTCGCGGAAAATGAAGATGAAAGCCGAACTCCGAATTGGAAACGGGGTTCAGCAAGCCTTGAAATTGGTTCAGTAACAGGGGCTACGCAGCGAATTCTGGCGAACAGCCTTTAGGGCAAGCGAGGCCTCGCGTAGCGATCACGAAACTGGTACTCTCTCCTCTTGTCCTAGCCAGATAATCAGTTCCTCCTATGCCATAAGCATACAACTGGTCGCATAGGCCATTTTCCCTTTCCGAGCTCCCGATTGTTGCTCCTTATGCGTCCCGCTCTTGCTCATCCGTTACCGTAGGGGAGTCACGTCGATAGCTCAGAGTCGCGGCGTGACCTACCCTAGATTCCGGCGTCGAGCTTCGACGCCGGCTGAGCCAGGGTGTCTCACGACGAGCCAGCGTGTCTCACGGCGCTGAATCAGCGTTGTGGTAGCGATGGCGGGATATGAGCCTCCGCCGTTTAGAGACGGTAGCAGCGGGCGATCAGGCAGCACGGATCTGCACACCGATCTGTACGCGTTATTGCACGTCTCGCGGGACGCGTCTGACGATGAGCTGAAACGCGCGTATCGCCAGCTCGCTTCGGTGTACCACCCTGACAAGTACCCCTTTCCGCAGGTACTAGTGGCAAATACCCCCAGCGCCGTCCCACATAGGGAAGCTTCAGTAAAGGGGGGGTTTTTATCTGTAACGGGGCATTAGATACGTCCTTACTGAGAATCTTTCTTCCTCACTTCGTCTACCCATGCACCGTCCCACATAGGTAAGCTTCAGTAAAGGGGGAGGTTTTTATCTGTAGCGGGGCGTCAGACACGTCTCTACTGAGTGAATTCTTCTCCCTCGCCTCGACTTCCCTTCGCTCTCTTCGCCAAGGAATAATCCTCGTTATCCGCTCTCCTCGTTACGTGTTACAGATGCAAGATGTCGCCAAGGATCACTTTCAGCGGATCCGATCCGCCTACGAGGTTTTGTCCGACCCGGCCAAGAGGCAGGTACGTGGAAAGCCGTATTTTTTGCCTTGATGCTTCTTGCGTGTATGTTTAAGAACAACTGTTAAAGGATAATTGGACCCATTCACACGGTTTGGTCCGAACAAGGCTGTGTCAAAACCAGTGGTTAAGGGGGAGGGTCCAAGGGCGTGGTGTTTCGTGGGTGTTTTAATGGAAGTTAGGAGCTCGGCCATGGTGTTAGCAGCTCGGCCATGGGGTTAGCAGCTCGGCCATGGGGTTAGCAGCTCGGTCATGGGGTTAGCAGCTCGGCCATGGGGTTAGCAGCTCGGCCATGGGGTTAGCAGCTCGGCCATGGGGCTAGCAGCTCGGCCATGGGGTTAGCAGCTCGGCCATGGGGTTAGCAGCTCGGCCATGCGGTTAGCAGCTCGGCCATGGGGTTAGCAGCTCGGCCATGGGGCTAGCAGCTCGGCCATGCGGTTAGCAGCTCGGCCATGGAGCTAGGCCCGCACCTGCGGACGAGGCAGGAGATACGGGAGGAGTGAGCGCAGAGGGCAATTGAGGGTGCGTTATTGGCCCCCTTGCTCCCCCCCCGGCCGAACAAGCAGGAGTATGACCTGTACGGCATTGAGGGCGTGGTGTCAGGCATGGAGCTAGGCCCACACCTGCGGACTCCTCCCCCAATGAGACATGTCCCCCCTTCCCCCCCTCTTCCCCCCCTCCCTATATGACAGGTGTATGACCTGTACGGCATAGAGGGCGTGGTGTCGGGCATGGAGCTAGGCCCACACCTGCGCACGAGGCAGGAGATACGGGAGGAGTGGGAGCGGGCGCAGAGGAGGAGGGAGGAGCTGAAAGCGGCGATGCGCACCCAGCACTCGTCCTCCATGCTGCTGTCTGTCACTGCTGCTGATGCCCTGGCGTCAGGATTTCAACGCTTCCCCAGAATCACAGGGTATGATCTGAACCCCAAACCAAACCCTGAATCAAATGGTAGGATTTGAACCCATAACCTTGAATCATAGGGACTAATTCCAAACCGCTCACCTTAAATCACAGGGTATGATCTGAACCCCAAAACCTGAGTCATGTGGTATGATTTGAACCCTCAACCCCAAACCCTCCCTGCTTGGTTTTGGGGTTCTGCCATTTTAACCATGTTCTCCCCCCCTCCCCCTCCCTCCCCTCCCCTCCTTGTATCAGCATGCAGATGTCAATGCAGAAGGTGCAGGCAGCGCTATCAGCCAAGGACACTCTTGTCCTGGGCGGCTCCATGCCCTTTCTTCTCCTCTCACCTCCCCCTCCCGTGCTTCCACTTTCTCCCCCTCTCCCCTCCTCCTCCCCCAACCAACACCTTTCAGTATGCAGATATCAACGCAGGTGCAGGCAGGCAAGGGGCGGCTGGTCCTGGGCGGCTCGATGCTCATGAGGTACATGGCAGGGAGGCTCCATGCCCTCCTCACGGCCTCTTGTGCCCCCCTTCTGGCCCCCCCCACCCTCGACCCCTCCCAGTATGCACATGTCAACGCAGGTCCAAGCGGTGCTACCAGACACGCTGCTCCCCCCGGGCGGCTCCATGCTCCCCTCCTCCTCTTCACTCATCTCCTTCCCTGCCCTTCCCCTCCTTTTGTTCCCCCCTGTCTCCCCTCTGCACAACCCCCTCCCAGTATGCACATGTCAACCCAAGTCCAAGCGGCGCTATCCGACAAGGACACGTTAGTCCTGGGCGGCTCCATGCTCATGAGGCGCGTGGCGGGGGGCGGCTCCATGGTGGCGGTGTTTCGCAGACAGATGGATGCATACCAGACGGCCGAGCTGGTGGCAGTTGTTGGGATTCGAACCCAGCTCACTCTGTCTACTGCACGGTACGCACTCAGGGCTCATGGGCTCATGGGCTCATGGGCTCATGGGCTCGTGGGCTCATGGGCTCATGGGCTCATGGGTTCATTGGTGCCTTGATGGGACCTCATGGGGTTGCAAATGGGGGGCGCCTCCATGGTGGCTCTGTTTAGAAGGCAGATGGGTGCATGCTGGACGGCACGGCTGAACTCGTGGCGGTGGGGGATCCGCACGCAGCTCACTCTGTCTACTGCGCGGTGAGGAGGCTATTTTTTAGGCGCCTCAAAAGTAGACTCCTCAGCTCACTCAGTCTACTGCCGGGTGAGTTTTGAGGGACGCGCTGGTGCTGGGAGGCTCCAGAGTGGCTGTGCTTAGAAGGTTTTTTGAGGCGCCTCAAAAAAAGTGGCTGAGCTTAGAAGGCAGATGGGTGGGTGGGTGCATGCATGCCAGACGATGGAGCTGGTGGCAGAATCGGGGATTCGCTCCCAGGCAGCCACTCTTTTTGAGGCGCCTCAAAAATCGCACCCAGGCAGCCCACTCTCTCCACTGCGTGATAAGGTCTTAGTGTGCTCATGAGACGCGTGCCTGTGGGAGGCTAGGCCACTGCTGGCCGTCCGTTATCCTCCTGCTGCTTCTGGCCCTGCTTTGCTCTTCTCCGTTATTTTTACCTCTCCTGTTACGTCCTCTCCTACCTCTCTCATGTGCAGACAAGTGTCGCCGTCCGTGAAGCGACGGCAGGGGTGACGTGGCATGCTGATGATGGCTCGCTGTCATTGGCCAATTCGTGGACGTCCCAGATCACAGAATCCACTGCAGCATCTGTACGTACAGCGGCTTCCTCTCTTGCTTCCTTCTTCTCCTTACTTCTCACTTCGTACGTTGGAGATTTTAGGGGGGGGGGTAAGAGCTTTTCATACAGTTTTAAGAGCTTTTCATACAGTTTTAAGAGCCTTTCATACAGTTTTAAGAGCTTTTCATACAGTTTCAAGAGCTTTTCATACAGTTTCAAGAGCTTTTCATACAGTTTTAAGAGCTTATCATACCAGTTTTAAGAGCTTTTCATACAGTTTTAAGAGCTTTTCATACAGTTTTAAGAGCTTTTCATACAGTTTAAGAGCTTCTCATACAGTTTTAAGAGCTTTTCATACAGTTTTAAGAGCTTTTCATACAGTTTCAAGAGCTTTCATACAGTTTCAAGAGCTTTTCTTTATGCATGAACTTTTCCCGAGATTGGATTTTCTGCTGCATCTGTACAATTATTCACTTTCTCTCACCCTCCATCTGCCTGCTATAATGCTATTAGACCGTTTGGGGGGCATTCACGTCTCCCTCCTGCCACTCGTCCGCCTTTTGTGCAGATTAACATTGCTTTAGGAGTGGATGGAGGTGCTTGTTGTGCTTCTCGAATCAAAACGAAGTTGGTGTTTTCCAACAGATTAGTCTTGAATTTTTTCCCAAATGCGATGTTTTGCTATGTCATCCCTTGTGCAGATCAACATTGGGTTGGGAGCCGATGGAGGTGCAGGAGTGGGGTGGCACACACAAAAGGACAAGAATAATTTCAATGCAGAGCTTAAAGTAAGAATTTTAGTACATTTATAAGCGCCTTTCAGTACACTTGTCAGAGTTTTATGGTGGCCATGCTTTTTAGGACAAACATCAATGGGAGCCTTTTATTGAAAACGTATCAACATCTCCCCTCGTTGCTGAACAGTGACCCTTCCCGCCTCTCCCCTTTCCCCTCTCCTTCGTCACCCTTCCCGCTTTCCCCCCTTCCCCCTTTCCCCTCTTTCACCCTTTCTCCCCTTCCCCCTGCCCCCTTTCCCCCTTTGCCCATTCCCCTGCCCCATTCCCGCCTTCCCGCTGCCCATCAGGTGGGAGCAGGTTTGTCCTCAGGGGGCTCACAGCGACTTCGTCAGAAGGTTCCAGAACATTCATCAGGGAGAATACACGGCAGGCTGGGAACGTGAGTGTGGTTGTGGGGGATTCTGTATAACTATACGTGGTGCTGGTGTTGTGTGTGTAGCTACATTTGTATGGGATTGAGCGGGATTGATGAGATTGGCTTGTTTTCTATTTCCAGCACTATACAATACAAGTGACAGTGTAACAGGGACAGGTCCCCCTCCCCCCTCTCTCCCCCTCTCCCCCCCTCTCTCCCCCTCTCTCCCCCTCTCTCCCCTCTCTCCCCCTCTCTCCCCTCTCCCCTCTTCCCCTCTCTCCCCTCTCTCCCCCTCTCTTCTCCTATTTCCCCCGTGCCTCCTCTCTCCCCCCATCAGCACAGGAGCAGACGTGGAGGTGGGTGGCAGCAGGAAGATATCGGACAACAGCTCTTTGGGGTTCTTTGTCACCATGGGGCTCCAGGTGAGGTGTGCCAAGGCTGGTAGTATGGGCATGTGTTGGTGGTGGGGTGGTATGTGTGTGCGATATGTGCACATGAGAACATGAGTCATGCATGTGCATGTGCGTATGTGCATGTGCGTATGTGCATGTGTGCATATGTGAATGCCAGGCCACACCCAACCTGCCTGGAATAGAATCCAATGCTTCCCAGCCACATCATCCCACTCCACCTTGCCCCATTTCACCCCCACCCCACTCCCTGTCATCCCCCCTTGCAGGGCACACTATGGAAGGTTCGCTACTCTCGAGGCGGCCAGAAGGTCACTGTGCCTGTAAGTGTGGCGGTGCTACTATCGGTTTCCTCTCTTTACTTCCTCCACATCTTTTTCGCAACAAGAATAGTGAGTGTGTGTGTGGGGGGAGGGAGTAAACCTATTGTCCATTCTCAATGTCAGGAGAAAACTTTTGAGGCACCTCAAAGTGTGTGTGTGGGGGAGGAGGGAGTAAACCTATTTTCCATTCTCAATGCCAGGAGAATTAGTGCCGCAACCACTATTTCTCCTGGCATTGAAAGGAAAATATTTAGTGGTTGTGGGGATTTAATTATTTCTCCTGACATTGGGGAAATATTCCGAGTGAGGATTTATTGTTTTTCCCTGACATTGCAGAAATGTTCAGTGGGTGGTGGGGTTCCCACTATTTTTTCCTGGCATTGGACCCCCCCCCCATTTTCTTCTTTCTCTTCCTCCCTCCCTTAACCCTCCTCCCTCCTCCAACCCCCCCCCCCACCCTCACCGCTTTTCCCATCTCCCCCCCTACAGGCTACACCCCAATGTCTATTCCCTTCCCTCTTCCCCGCCTCTCTCTTTTTCCCGTGCAAATTCTTCTCCCTCCCACTCTGCAACCAGCCATCTGTGCTCCAACGCGCCTCATACCGTTTGTCACACACCACTTTCTCTCTTCCCCTCCCTCACCCCTCCCCCCATCCCCCCTCCCTCCCCTCAACTCCAGATTCTCCTCTCCCCACTCTACGACCAGCCATCAGCGTTCCGGCCATTCTCATTCCCTCGGTCACATACGCTGTCCTTAAGGTACTTATAGAGAAACCAACTACTCCTAAACACGATTCTCCCAAATATTCTTAAGCTGTTGTTGCTGCTGCCTTCCGCCTCACTCCTACCTTCCCCAACCCAACCTAACCCTTCACAAACCGTCTCCCCTTGAATTGCATCCCAATCCCACCCGCCTCTGCATAGTGTACATTTTTAGACATCTCAAAAACATCCGTCCCACCCGCTTCTGCATGATATACATGAACTCGTACTCTTACTCAACGGGGGCCAATTTCAGCCTCTCTTATACTGCAGCATTGGGTGTTCGTCCAATGGAAGCACACAGATCTGAGAGGCTCGGCAGGACAGGAAGGTTTGGAGGCGCCTCAAAACTATACAGGAAGGTTCGGCAAGTATTGCTGTGCACCTGCTCCCATACCTTTCCATCTCTCCCCACCCTCCCCTCTTCCCTTCCCCCCGCAATCCTCGCCCCATGCCTCCACTCCAGCATTGGGTGTTCAGCCGGTGGAAACAGATCCGGGAGGCTCGGCAGGACCGGGAGGTTCGGCAGAAGTCAGCTAAGCAGGTCTGGGAGTCCATGGCTGAGGCTCGGCAGCTCCAGGACATGATGACCCCGGTGGTAACCAGACGGGTAACCGCGTTACAGCAGCGGCAAAACGGCAACGCTCTGATGATCATATCGGCGAAATACGGACGCCTGGGAGGAGCTGGGGGGGAAGGAGAGAGGGAGAGTCGAAACGAGAGCACGAATAGTGGCAATGGCAGTGGCAGTGGGGTAGTGGTAGTGGTAGTGGTGGTGGTAGTGGTGGGAGGGAAGGGGAAGGGAGAAGAGCTGCATCTGGAATTGGCTCGATGTTTGAGAGAATAGGCGGGCTGCTCAGGAGAGGTTTGGGAGGAATCGGAGGGGGAGGAGGAGGAGGAGAGGAGGGAGTGGGTGGGAGTGAGAATGAGGGTTGGGATGAGGATGAGTGGGAGGAGGGGGAGGGGGGAGGCGAGAGGTGGTGCTGCCTCCTGCAGTTTGGGATGTGCGCATTCCGCTGCAATTCCTTGTTGATGATGCCAGCAACACACTACAGGTGCGTGCGAGGTGCTTGCGCTGCTCCTCTGTGCGTGAGTATGGGATGAAGATGAGTGGGAGCGGAGAGCGTGGTGCTGCGTACCTCCTGCAGTGTGGGATGTGCGCATTCCACTGCAATTCCTTGTCGATGATGCAAGCAACACGCTGCAGGTGAGTGTCTGAGTGTGTATGTGTGTATGGGTGATGAGTTAGTGTGCGCATGTACGTGCATATCTGCATGTATGCATCTTCGCATTCTTCTCTTTCTCCTCCCCTGCTACCCAAGCCAGTGAGCAGGAAAGGCGATGCTCAACCCTGTGCTAAGACTGCTCCGGATCCCAGCGCCCAATGGACTGCTCGGGTCCCAGCGCCCAATGGACTGCTCTGGATCCCAGCGCCCAATGGACTGCTCGGGATCCCAGCGCCCGATGGACTGCTCGGGATCCCAGCGCCCAATGGACTGCTCGGGATCCCAGCGCCCAATGGACTGCTCGGGATCCCAGCGCCCTATGGACTGCTCGGATCCCAGCGCCCTATGGACTGCTCGGGGTCCCAGCGCCCATGGACTGCTCGGGATCCCAGCGCCCGGACTGCTCGGGATCCCAGCGCCCGCTGGACTGCTCGGGATCCCAGCGCCCAATGGACTGCTCGGGGCCCCAGCGCCCAATGGACTGCTCGGGATCCCAGCGCCCGATGGACTGCACGGGATCCCAGTGCCCGATGGACTGCTCGGGATCCCAGCGCCCTATGGACTGCGCGGGGCCCCAGCGCCCAATGGACTGCTCGGGATCCCAGCGCCCTATGGACTGCTCGGGATCCCAGCGCCCGATGACTGCTCGGGATCCCAGCGCCCTATGGACTGCTCCGGGTCCCAGCGCCAAATGGACTGCTCGGGATCCCAGCGCCCGCTGGACTGCTCGGGATCCCAGCGCCCGATGGACTGCTCGGGATCCCAGCGCCCAATGGACTGCTCGGGCCCCAGCGCCCAATGGACTGCTCGGGATCCCAGCGCCAATGGACTGCTCGGGATCCCAGTGCCCGATGGACTGCTCGGGGGTCCCAGCGCCCAATGGACTGCGCGGGGCCCAGCGCCCTATGGACTGCTCGGGATCCCAGCGCCAAATGGACTGCTCGGGGTCCCAGCGACCAATGGACTGCTCGGGATCCCAGCACCCGATGGACTGCTCGGGATCCCAGCGCCCAATGGACTGCTCGGGGTCCCAGCGCCAAATGGACTGCGCGGGCCCCAGCGCCCAATGGACTGCTCGGGATCCCAGCGCCCGATGGACTGCTCGGGATCCAGCGCCCAATAGACTGCTCGGGATCCCAGCGCCCGATGGACTGCTCGGGATCCCAGCGCCCTATGGACTGCTCGGGTCCCAGCGCCAATGGACTGCCGGGATCCCAGCGCCCATGGACTGCTCGGGATCCCAGCGCCGCGACTGCTCGGGATCCCAGCGCCCGATGGACTGCTCGGGATCCCAGCGCCCATGGACTGCTGCGGGCCCAGCGCCCAATGGACTGCTCGGGATCCCAGCGCCCGATGGACTGCTCGGGATCCCAGTGCCCGATGGACTGCTCGGGATCCCAGCGCCCTATGGACTGCGCGGGCCCCAGCGCCCAATGGACTGCTCGGGATCCCAGCGCCCGATGGACTGCTCGGGATCCCAGCGCCCTATGGACTGCTCGGGATCCCAGCGCCCGATGCACTGCTCGGGATCCCAGCGCCCGATGGACTGCTCGGGATCCCAGCGCCCAAAGACTGCTCGGGATCCCAGCCGAATGGACTGCTCGGGATCCAGCGCCCTATGGACTGCTCGGGGTCCCAGCGCCAAATGGACTGCCGGGATCCCAGCGCCCATGGACTGCTCGGGATCCCAGCGCCCGCTGGACTGCTCGGGATCCCAGCGCCCGATGGACTGCTCGGGATCCAGCGCCCAATGGACTGCTCGGGGCCCCAGCGCCCAATGGACTGCTCGGGATCCCAGCGCCCGATGGACTGCTCGGGATCCCAGCCCGATGGACTGCTCGGGATCCCAGCGCCCTATGGACTGCCGGGCCCAGCGCCCAATGGACTGCTCGGGATCCCAGCGCCCGATGGACTGACTGCTCGGGATCCCAGCGCCCTATGGACTGCTCGGGATCCCAGCGCCCATGGACTGCTCGGGATCCCAGCGCCCTATGGACTGCTCGGGGTCCCAGCGCCCAAATGGACTGCTCGGGGTCCCAGCGCCCATGGACTGCTCGGGATCCCAGCGCCCGATGGACTGCTCGGGATCCCAGCGCCCTATGGACTGCTCGGGATCCCAGCGCCAATGGACTGCGGGCCCCAGCGCCCAATGGACTGCTCGGGATCCCAGCGCCCGATGGACTGCTCGGGATCCGAGCGCCCAATAGACTGCTTGGGATCCCAGCGCCCGATGGACTGCTCGGGATCCCAGCGCCCAATGGACTGCTCGGGATCCGAGCGCCCGATGGACTGCTGGGATCCCAGCGCCCGATGGACTGCTCGGGATCCCAGCGCCCTATGGACTGCTCGGGGTCCCAGCGCCAAATGGACTGCGCGATCGCCCAGTGCCCAATGGACTGCTCGGGATCCACCCGCGCCCCCGATGGACTGCTCGGGATCCAGCGCCCAATGGACTGCTCGGGATCCCAGCGGCCCGATGGACTGCTCGGATCCCAGCGCCCAATGGACTGCTCGGGATCCAGCGCCCGATGGACTGCTCGGGATCCCAGCGCCCGATGGACTGCTCGGGATCCCAGCGCCCAATGGACTGCTCGGGATCCCACGCGCCGATGGACTGCTCGGGATCCGAGCGCCCATAGACTGCTGGGATCCCAGCCGATGGACTGCTCGGGATCCCAGCGCCCAATGGACTGCTCGG